CGAATATGACCATGAACAATTTTTTTCATCGGCGATTTTCCCGCTTAAAAAAAAGTCGAGTAGGGTGCCTATTCCTATGTTTTTTAGTTCGCTAAAACCAAAAAGGACTACCAAAAAAAATTTCTTCTCTCCCTTAAGGGGGAGTGACACCTTAGAGGCCTCTTTTAAAACTGTTTTTCATGAATTTTTTTAAGACACGGGAATGAAGTAAACAAAATTTGGTTTTGAGGGATTTATTTGTTAACTTTTTAAGTTTACAAAAATATATTTATACGTAAAAAAAGTTTAAATTTGTTGCCTATAGAGGGCGCCGAAGTTGGTCTCCTTTTCCTGCAGAGCAATTCGGTGGGCAAGATTCCGGTTAGACCGTTTAATCTAAATCAAAAATTCAAAGTTTTTCTGAATCTAAGATAGATTTAGCTTTCGAGTACGTAGGATATTTTAAAATATCTAATTAATATTTTTTTTTAAAATATTAATTTTTGTGTATTTGGCAGTTGTTTGAAGTAAAAAGTCGATTTTTAGGGCGAAAATTTGTCAAAAAATCTGTTGCCAAAAAAAAACAAAGAAACCAAAAAAAATCCGCTACGTACTCGAAAGCATTAGTAAATGACGATTAAAAAAAACTTTGTCCGAAGTCAATCCGATCAAAACTGTTCTAGCTAGACTGCCCACCGTTTTGAAAAACGTCATTTCGAGAAAAACGCGTTTAAAGTTTTGAAAGCACTTGAAGCGCTCTTGGACACCTTTTACAGATTTTGATTTTTTTCACATAAAATAGCTTCGAAATCATCTCTAATGATATAATTTCTATTCTACACATTAAGGTAAAGGTCCCTATTATGGGACGCGGTTTAAGCTAAACTAAATTTCTATGATAAATTTCTTGGAATTAGGAATGTTAATATAAATAATTACGGTATAGATTGAAAGATTTATATGTTATGAATAATATTTAGACCCTAAAATGGTTATTTTTCTTGAAATAAAAATAATATTAATTAAATTTTGAAACTCTGCACTGCACTAATTATGGGACTATGTAACGGGTATGTACGGGTGTCCCAAAATGAATGTTCCTAATATGAGACATTTATTTAATTTAATAAGTAATTACAATTCTATTGACTTATCTTAATAATTTGAATATTAATTAAAAAGAATAAAATACAATAAACGAATTCTGGTTTAATAAATAATTATAAAACTAATTTTTGTGGTAGAAAATTAATGTGAAAATACTGAAAATATTTGAGGTTATGTTTGCTGTGTGTCTCATAATAGGGACATACAAATAATAAGTGTACCTAATGTGGGACGGTAGTCTGACGGAAAACCTGGCCTACCTTAATTTAAAAGCTAAATTGCAATTAAACATTTCTTATTAAATTAAATGCTATACATAAATAATTATTCTTATAACGTGTAAAATTTTTTGAAGTAAGTAGAAATTTCTTATGACCAATTTTAATTGCATTTATTTTATTTTTTGTAATACTGTCTCATAATAGGGACAAAATTGTAAATTGTCCCATAATTGGGACCTTTACCTTATAAAGTATCGTTTAAGCAAAGAAAAAAAATCGATTTTTTTTCGAGTCAAAGGTGTCACTCCCCATTAACCCCCTACAACCCCTGGGTGAGGGGTCGAAATTCGAATTTTCACGAAAAGTCGATTACGGTGTCTAAACCTACGTTTTTTGGGTCGCTGAAACCAAAAAAGACTACCAAAATCAAATCCTTTACACCCACAACCCCCTGCAATAATTTTTGATAATTAATATTTAATTTCCCAAAAATCGGTCCGTTTTATTTAAAAAAAATTGTTGTAGGGGGTTGAGGGTGGAAAGGATTTGATTTTGGTAGTTTTTTTTTGTTTCAGCGACCCAAAAAACGAAGGTTTAGACACCGCACTCCACTTTTCGTGAAAATTCGGATTCCAACCCCCACCCTGCGGGTGTTAAGGGGGTTGTTAAAAAAAACCTTAACCAGGGGGTTCCCTTAACCCCCTGGTTAAGGGAGGGAAGAATTTGTTTTTGGTAGTCTTTTTTGGTTTTAGCGACCCAAAAGAACATAGGAATACTCCTACTCCACTTTTTTTTAAACTGAAATTCCAACCCCCGAGAGCAGGTGTAAGGGGGTGGTAGCGGGAAAATGGCCGATGAAAAAAAATTTTCATGGTCATATTCGGTTTCAGCGACCCCAAAAACATGGGGATAGGGGGTGTGACCTCTGGGTTTTGACTTTTTTTTGCGTGCCTGTGCTATTATTACCTAAAATATAAATAAAATCTAACTAAATAGATAAAAGTTATTCGTTTTTCAAAAAAAATGTACTTTAATATTTAATAAGTATATGGAGTGTATAACTCCTTTTTCATTTTAAGCCAAGTATAATAAAGTAAAGATTTCCTTCTTTCTTGTGGCCTAATGGCCACAAGAAAGAAGGAAATCTTTACTTTTTAATGTTTAATGCCTGGTAAAATCCACAATTTAAAAACAATTTTTAAATCTTTCATTCCTAAAATCTTCTGTCATAAAACACTACCTTTATACCAAGTTTGACAAAAATTGAAAGATCCATGACCAACTTTGATTTTTTTGAGAAAATTTGACCCGTATACGATTTGGTCTATCAATTACATAGGTTCACACACGAAGTAGTATAAGGAGACCACACGCGGGTTTAAAATCAGCCTGCATTTGGGGGATCAGAGTTATGAGAGTTCTCACAACGTTCAGAGGTTGCGCCTCTGTGGTTAAATTTGGTATTAAAATATCGTCTGCTTCAAACTTATTCTGTACTTTACATTTTCTCCGCATGAGCGCGCTGCTTCTGAACGTTGTGCAGATTATATTTTCTCATAGTAACTCTGATCCCCCAAAATGATGCTGATTTTTGCCACTATAACTATTGGGGTTGGGTCTCCTTATACTACTTCATGGGTTCACATAAAATCGATGAGGGTTTCCTTAACCAAACCAAACAAATCTAAACTTCACATTTATCTAAGGGTACAGTCACACGATCAATGCATCTGCATGATGCATGCATGCACAAACATTTGACTGTTCACACCTCAATTTTTCGCTCTCGAAAATCATTTTTCTGGCGGGATATTTAAAATTGATTAAAATTTAAAAATAACGTATTACTAATTATTACAATAAAAAATAAAAAAAATTGAACGTTTATTATAAGGAATTAATTGTAAATAAATTTCTCTTAATTAGTGGCATATTTTAAATTATAAAATTTCACAATATTAAAATATGCCACAAATTAAGAGAAATTTATTTACAATTAATTCCTTATAATAAACGTTCAATTTTTTTTTATTTTTTATTGTAATAATTAGTAATACGTTATTTTTAAATTTTAATCAATTTTAAATATCTCGCCAGAAAAATGATTTTTCGAGAGCGAAAAATTGAGGTGTGAACAGTCAAATGTTTGTGCATGCATGCATCATGCAGATGCATTGATCGTGTGACTGTACCCTAAGTTATGGTACTTAGGGGTTTTTGGGGTCGCTGATTACAATTTTGAAGTCAGATGTTCAAAATCCAATAAGGCAGATCCAATGTAGCGGTCGAGTTTTTAAAAAATTCTTTAATTTTTACAAAACCGGATATCTATGGGTTTTTGAGGTTGCTGATTATGAACCTGGTGTCAGATTTTTAAATTTAAAAAAATCTTTTATGTGTCTCCATTATGGGCACCTCCAAGTGGTGACATGGCAATATGTCCATTGTATGCTCACATTCTCGCCTTCATACACGGAAAGAAATCTGCTAGTATTAGGGTGCAGTCCCATGCTGAGCAGAAAACAGAACGCAAAGCAGAATTTCGTAAGTGCAAGAGAAAGAAAAATAGTCAAATATCAGTATCCTTTCCACTCTCACGAAATTCTGCTTTGCATTGTGTTTTCTGCTCAACATGGGACCGTACCCTTATACCATTGGGCGGCCAAAAGACTTATGCCATCTGACGCCACCACTACTTTTCAGGCCGAGTAGATGGAATTAGTCCATCTCTGCGTAGAATAATACTATGCAGCGATGGACTAATAGCATCTACTTGGCCTGAAAAGTAGTGGTGGGGGTCCGATGGAATAAGTCTATTGGCCGCCCAATGATATAATACTAGCAGATTTCTTTCCGTGTAGCAGAAACATGAAAAAACATACGATGCAGGGAGTCGGAACCCCAGTATCGGTAGCTGTCCAGGTTGGGAAAGCAGACCCGAATTCCCATCGTCAGGCAACTGCAGCTCTATATTGTGAGTGATTTGGCCTTTAAGTATAATATATTCTGCAAAAACGGCTTAGAAATGATCTATTTTCTCATTGCAAACTCTACTTTTTGGAGCATAATACTCATCAAAGGCCAAGTCAACCACCAATGTAAAGTTGCAGTTGCCTGATGACGACTGAGGGTCTGCTTTTCACCCCGACTAGTCGCCGATATTCAGATTCCGACTCCCTGTATCGTACGTTTTTCGTGTATCTGCTATGATGGCGAGAAAATGATCCTTCAATGAACATATTGTTACGTACACGTGTTATTTGTTTACACAAAACTAAGCCCAATGTAATCTCTCAGTGAGGAGCGTGATCCAGGGACTCTGTCGGATCACGGAACAACTTTGTTGCCCACCGTCACCACATGAAAGTGCCCTAGATGCATGCACAGGGAAGATTTTTTTAAATTTTTAAATCTTACATTAATTCGTAATCAGCATCATTAAAGACCCCTAGATACTCAGTTTTGTAAAAATTGAAGAATTTACGAAAACTCGACCGCCAAATTGGATCTGCTATAGTGAATTTTGATAATCTGACAGCAAGCTCAAAAAAACTAGATAACATAACTGAGGTAAATGTATCAATATTTATAAAATTTTGCCCGTCACGAAAAGTTAATTTTAATTACAAATTCTTGAAATTTGTTCTATTTGTTATTTATTAAATTGAATAACCATTTTATTATACTTTTTAGAATTATGCGATCTAGATTGTGGACTTCATGGTCATTGTGTGGATAACGCTTGTGACTGTTTGCTTGGCTGGTCTGGTGAACTTTGCAATCTTAAGCAATGTGACTCACGCTGTAATGAACATGGCCAGTGTAAAAATGGCACATGCCTTTGTGTAACAGGATGGAATGGTAAGCACTGTACAATGGAAGGCTGCCCTTACTCATGTTCTGGTCACGGACAATGTAAAGTGAACGCAGACTCCTTGTGGGAATGCCGATGTTACGATGGTTGGGATGGCAAAGATTGTAGTGTTTTACTTGAGCAAAATTGCAATGATGGTCGAGACAACGACAAAGGTAAAGATTTAGTTTAAATAATTTTTTATCAAAATTCAACGCTTATTGTTTCTTAAAAATAAATATTTAGAAAACAAATTCTCTTGGCTGATAAGACAATTTAACTCACCCGAAACTTATGGGAATTGTTCTTTATATAGGTAAGGGAAAGGCCCCAAGATGGACATGGTATCGATGTAATGCTCTAGAATCTAAACCCAATTAAATAAGCTAAAGTGAAGTATGCCGAATGAAAGTATAATTTATTAGGTATCTTTTGGCCATAAAGAAAAGTTTTTGTTTTGAACTCAAAAATCGTTGAAAGCATTTTTTCAAATTGTCAAAAATTTGTTACTAAATAAAAAAATGTGTCTCCAAGATGGACACCTTTTTAAGAATCTTTAAAAAATATGTTAAATTTAGAATTATCATCATATACTTTTCCAATTAATTTTCTATCTTTTTATTATTATTTCTTAAGGGTTAATAGTTTTTAAATTTTCAATTTAATTTGGATATTTTTAAGGAATGTCTATCCTAATAACATAAAACATAAGGTGCTGACACTTTAGACAAAAATTTTAAACGAAATGTCCATCTTGTGGTCTTTTATTCTTAGGAATTACTTTTTTCCACTCAAAGTTCAAATGTGCATAACTTCATTAAAAACAGTGGTTATGAAAAATAAGAACAAACTTGTCTCCTTATTTTTCATTTACATATTTCTTTAGCAGAATTTAGAATTACATATTTCTTTAGCAGGTAAATCTATTACTCAAAGTTAGTCGGCCTGCCCGATTTAACTGTCTAATTTAACAATAGATAACATGTAAGGATTAAGAAACGATTTTAGAACTAAGTTTGATTAATTTTTCAGATGGTCTTATTGACTGTGCGGATCCGGAATGTTGTTCTAATCACGTATGTCGTAGTAGTCAACTTTGTGTTTCCGCTCCAAATCCAATCGATGTTCTCCTTAGAAAACAATCCCCGGCTATTACGGCTTCTTTCTTCGAAAAAATGAAATTTCTCATAGATGAAGGTAGTCTTCAGAACTATGCTCGTCAAGATTCATTTAATGAAACGTAAGTATTTTAAATATGCTTGTTAAGTTGATTTCAAAACAGTCTTATTGGCTAAACTAATAAATATTTTTTTTATCATTACTTAACAAATTTTAATAATGAAGAAAATTAAAATTTTTTTTTTAATTTTAACTTATTACTGAATACTTTAGTTTATTTTAAATCAAATAAACAGAACAACCTTATTTTTAGATTTACTTTAAAAAAAGATAAATATATATTTTATTATAATAAAAGAAAAAATAATATAACGAAATATGAAAAATAACCTTTTTGGATAGAGTTGAAGAAGATAGAACACACACATTTTTTTCAAATGTATAATAATTACAAAATATTATTATTATTATTATTATTATTATTATTCTACACAGTTTGAATTGAATCTTATATTAAATTCCTGAATCACATTTAAGTATAAAAAATTGAAAGAAGTAGATGACGTTCTTTAAATTGATATTCCTCAACAAAAAAAAATAAAAATAAAAAATAACTGAGACGTGGACGAATATAAACAACATCTGCGCTGTTGTGACCCGTGTGAAATCACATCCCCACAATTTTATATATGTTTCATATGTGTGTGCGAGTGTGTGTCACACACCCTATCCCAACCTTCCTTTTCAGTATATCGTCTGTCCGTTTCTCTGTTGCATTTATTTTTAATATTGTTCATTCCAATAAAGCTTGTATGAATACTGAATTCATGTTCATCATAAAACCTCTTTCAGCTGTACATACTTAACTCACGGTAATTCTCAATTAAATACAACCTAAAAATCCTTGCACTTCTCTGTTTTATCTTTTCTTTCGTTCTCGGGATGCCTTCCTGTTAAGTGAAGCCAAAAATGAAGAAATAAATTAAATCGTTTTTGAAAACACTAATTTTTAGAATTTTTTAATTTGAAATGATGAAGGTAAAATAATATAATTATTTGCAGCAAATTCTTTTTTTAAAAAATTATAGTAGACACGATTTTGAAAAAATCTGAAAAAGATCTTTTTATCTTTAATAGAAACAAATATTATAACTTTTAAAAATGACCTTGGTATGAATTTTTGTTAAACATCACTTTTCTATTTTATTTTTCAATGATATTCAAAAAAGGAAAAAAAGATCATACTGTTTTTTTAATTTTTGTCTTTAAATAATCAGAAGGTGTACTAAAAACAAAAAAAAAATGAACAGAGAAGACTACCCAGTAATAAGGGGTGAATTAAAGTGGATTGGTACTTTTATGCCCTTAAATTCCAAACCAATTCCGTTTTTGTCCGCAATCTTAATGAATTCCTTTTCTATTGTTAAGTTGATAATTTCTATCCAATTCAATTCTCTGTAACCACGTGACCAGAGTCTGAATTCACTTTAATGCCGTTTAAGGGAATCATTTGTTGTGGAGTTAATGCCTTTTAATCAACATTGAATTCTTTAAAGGGCATTAAAGGGGTTTCAAAATCTGGTCACGTGGTTATAGAGAATTGAATTGGATAGAAATTATCAATTTAACAATAGAAAAGGAATTTATTAAGATTGCGGACAAAAACGGAATTGGTTTGGAATTTAAGAGCATAAAAATGCCAATCCACTTTAATTCACCCCTTATTACTGGGTAAGCAGTTTTGGATTGAACTTCGTTGAGACCCATCGTGATAACTGTTGATAGTAAGACTGATAGTTGATACCTTAAATAGAAGTACTGTTTGCATATGTTCATAAATATTCTTATGTGCAAATGCATTATGTATATTAAAAGAAGAATTAATAAGAACGTTTCGTATGTACATTCTCTTTGTATCACTCTATCTAGTCAATTTATTTTTCAACACATCGTTTTAATTGGGCTCTGTTTTGTCTTTGCTGCTTAATCAGAGTGTTCTGGAACCACTTCAATACAAGGTAAGAACCGAAGCAGTCACAACGAAAATCTGTTGTCCTGTACAACAAATTTTAAATGGTGTGTAGATTAAAAGAAAGTTTTAAATAGTTTAAATTTTAAAAAATTTAGATTTTACATCCATGCATATTTGAGTGGATAGGTCTGATGGCCTTTTTTAGAAATTGAGTCTGGCTTTCAACACCTTTTTTTCGTTGACAAAATTTTGTGATAGAAAAATTAAAAATCTTATTTTTTCTTTAAGCACAAATTAAAGATGGCACAAAAATGGCGCTTTTAGATAACTGACGACAAGGAGTGAAGTCATTCATTTGTTCGACCATATGAAAATGGCCGCCATTTTCATACAAGTCGAACAAGTGAATAACTCCCTGTCGTCTGCTTTCTGAAATTGACACTTTTGTGCATTAGGAATAAAAAATATCGTAAGTAACATGGGAATAAAGGTAGCCAATTTGTTTACGATGATTTTTGTGACATCACCATAAACAAATATCTGCCTTTATAGCCTTGTTGCTTAATATATACTATTTTGTATTTTAACAAACATGAAGAATTTCGATTATAATTAAATTTTTCTTGTTGGTTCCAATTATGTTATTTAAAGAGATGTGTATAACTATACAAGATATATGCAAAAATTTTTACTATTTATCTAAAGTTTAATTGATAAATTTATCTTCAAAAGCCTTTTTAGTTTGTTTAAATCCATACTTTCCTATTAACTGTTTCAACAAATTTTGTTGCATGGTTAAGTTATTTTATAATTCCTATATTGTGTTTTGTCCCTTTTTTGTTTTAAGCATATGATAATTGTGTTGCTCGTACTTGTGAATAATTGTATCATAATTGTATCCATGACTTTTAAGACAGAAAAGACGAGTTAATATAAATTTAATATTTTTGTTGAAGAACAAATTTATTTTGAAGGGGAGTTGCGTTAACTTAAAGTTCTATTGAGATTAATGCTCCAAAAGTTTATATGCCTATTGATTCCTATTATTTTTAGTTTTAAATAAACAAAATTTTACACTTCATATAATTTAAAATTGCTGAAAAATAAAAATTGAAATTTTTGTGTTCATTTTATGAACACTCTGCTTCCTTATGAACATTTTTATTTTATAATTATTGTAAATTGCATTATTGATATATATATATAATTCAATACCAAAAAAATCACAAAATCTGGGCCGTATAAAGTTCAAAATAGATCATTCGATGCGTTTTTGAAGAGACTATATAATGAATGTAAAATATTTAAACTTAAATGTCAGTTTGATACCAAAAAACTACAAAAAGTAAATTTTTAAAAAATTTTAAGTTTTTGAAATAATAATAAATTTGGCTAACATTTCCGAAACTCAAGATATTTATGAAAATGTAATATTTATATACACTCACATACACTGTAAAACATTTAGGGAGTTGATGGTCACTGGAGCTGAGAGTAAAATTTTTCGAGTTAAAAATCAACTTCAAAAGCGCTGTTGACACGTTTACGAATTCTTCTCTGATTTACAGCAAATGTTTCAATAATTTTTTAAGTTTGACATTAAATATCTTTTAAACTATACGGAAAAAAAAGTTCACGAATCTCTCGTGAACTAGTATAGGGGAGGGTAGGCTACATTGAACCGGGTATTTTATAAAGTCCAAGAACTAATAAAATTTTACTAATTTCGATCAGGTTTTTGTATCAAAATTAAGCTGAAGTACTCCTTTAGTTAATACACACGTTACAAACACAAATTATTATGATTAAATAATTAAATTTAATTTTTTTCTAACAAGTCACACTTTTCTTATTTTGAAGGATGTGTGTCTACATTGAACCACCTCTAATAAAACACTACAATTTACTTCAAAAATAATATTTCCACTTACACATTGTAAAAAATCTTATTTTCCACTCAAAAAAATAGAAAATTGTTATTTAATTGTTATTACTTGTTAATATAGGAGATTAATGTATTTTAATGTCAGGTTAGGTAGGTAAAGTGACAGTTTGAGTTTATCTCGTTCACAATTGTGATGAAAGCATGTCTTCCAGTATTTTTCTTACTAATTAGTAGAGCAGACAATTTTACAACTCTTAAAATTGAAAATTCTTTGCTTTTTCGGGTGGTTCAATGATGCCGCACTCACTGTATTCACATGACATTCACAACAAAAATTGTTTATAATAAATTTGTGTAAGATTTAAAGTTCTTTATCACATCGGAATATTGAAGTTGACACCCTAAGCGAAATAAATCGCAAGTTTACTAATTTTTAAAACTTCCTATTTCAATAAAAAAACGTCATTATAATTCCACCAAATTTTTTGTTTTGTACGTGAAAAACAGTTTTTTTAGTTTTTCTTTGTAAATAATAAACCTACGTGCCCGAAATTTTTGGACATAGTTTGTTTCAGTAAAACTAACTTATATATTAAATATGAAAAAATTTCACTCAGTCATTTCTCAGAAAATTGAAGTGGTTCACTGTTGACGCTGGTTCAATGTAGCCTACTCTCCCCTATCACTTTTGGATGGGACACAAAATTTCAAAATTTTCATTCACTTTTGATTAGAAATGGCGAACGTCAACGAAAAACTGAAACAAAGTTAATGAATTTTTGATGAACTGTTAAGGAAGAGTAGTTCGTCAAAAGTAGAGGTACAAGTTCACGAAAAAATCGTGAACTCGCGAGGGCAGTCATCGATTCGCTCCCGTGAGGGGAAGTGGCATTCTCCCACCATGCGGCCAGGGGCCTGAGCTGGGCAGTCATCGATTCGCTCCCGTGAGGGGAAGTGGCATTCTCCCACCATGCGGCCAGGGGCCTGAGCTCGGGGTTCGGAGCGAACGTAGCACAGCGGGGCGCCTGGTCCCTTAATCCCTCATTAAGTCATCCTTCCTTAATGACAGTGTTTAAAAAATATAAATTTCTCAAACATAAACATTTTAAAGTTTTTTTTATTAAATTCAGATCCCTTATTTTATTACGAATCCATACATATGTTGTTTGCCTTAAAAATGTTAATATTTAAAAAAACATTTAATTTATTATGAACTGACACTCAAATAAATTCATAGTAAATTTGACTTTCAAGTAAATATATATTTTCTCTGGCTGTATAATCTACTTTTTACTTCAGTTGAATTCTGAAAAAACTTAAGAATTACAATCAGTCAGTTAATAATAAATTTTAAACTTTTTAAATACTAAAATTTTTAAGGCAAACTACATATGTATGGATTCGTAATAAAACAAGGAATCTGAATTGAATAAAAAAAATTGAAAAATGTTTATATTTGAGAAATTTATATTTTTTAAACACTGTCATTAAGGAAGGATGGCTTAATGAGGGATTAAGGGACCGGGCGCCCCGCTGTGCTACGTTCGCTCCGAACCCCGAAGTCAGGTACAAGGCCGCATGGTGGGGGAAGGCCCCTTCCCCTCACGGGAGCAAATTGATAATCGCCCACTCGCGAGTGTCAGTAGTATGCGCAGTTCGTAACGCGCATCAAATATGGCTGATCAAGCATTCATCATTCAGTCGGTGTCATCGGTGTTTACATTCGGGAAAATTCTTTGATGAAAGTTATTATTTAGAATCAGTGTTTTTTTATTACTTAGTGAATATTTTTGTTTGCTAATTTCCTTTATGAAACAAATAATTCATAAAATGAATTAAAAGTTACGATAAGGGACTTTTTCTACTTTGCACGGTCCTGAGTTTTACAGCAGACAAAGCTAATCGTTTCGTTTGTCGAAGGACAGTGTATCTAGATTTAGCCGTGGCGGTTAGTTGTTAGAAATATTATGTTATAGGGTATAGGTACTAGGTTCGAATCCCGTGAAGCGAATTACGAATTTTAATGGCGATAAAATTGTGTATTCTGTGTAGTTGGGTGCGTAATAGGCGTCAAGTTATCAAATAAAATGAAATACTATAAAAAAGTAGTGTCTGGAAATTATTTTTTCTTGTTTTTAGCATTTTTTAAAAGTTCACGAATTTTTCGTTAACTTTGACGAAAAGTTCGGAAACCGTACTATGTTTCTAGTGAAGGAGTTGATGAAATTTTGACGAACTGTGTTTGTTGATTTTCAAGAATTTTGTGTCCCATCCAAAAATGATATACTAGTTCACGAGAGATTCGTGAACTTTTTTTTTCCGTGTAAACGGTAAAAAATTTTCATTTTTTTATAAAAGTTCATTTTGCTTCAATAAATAAAACTTTAGTTTGTTTTAAAAATCTGATGATTAGTATAGGTGCAAAAATTAAAAATCTGTAATTAATACATGGTTTTCCTATATCGCACATGTTAAAAATCGAAACTTTGATTTCATTTTTTGAGACTTACAGATGGTCAATTTTATTTTAATGGCCTTATTTTGTAGATAAATATTCAAAGATTAATTATGTGAAATTTAAAAAAAATCGGACAAAAACGATTCGACGCGACAAATATCTTAAGAAGTTTATCCCTGCTGGAAGTAAAGAGATACAAAGAGATTAAAAAAGGGGATAAAAAAAGATTAAAAGGTATAATAGTTTGGAGATGCAAAATGGATACTTAAAAGAGATACAAATTGTTTATCTCTTTCTATAACCTTATATTTATATCTTTTTTATCCCTTCTAATTTGTTTATATACATAGTTTCAGATATAGAAATATATAGAAAAAAATATATAGAAAGAGATAAAAAATTGGGGATGCAAAGTGGTGAATTAAAGAAGATAGAAGAAAATCTCTTTCTATTCATACATTTCTATCTTTCTCTATCCATTTTCACATCCTTTCTAATCCAAAGGAAAGTAAAAAAGAGATATCCCTTATAGAAGAAATCGATTAATTTCAATTAAAAACTTTTTCTATTGTTGTTAATTTAGTTTCTTAATCGTGTTGTTCTAATTCATTACGATTAACTATAAAAAATCTGTAAGTAAATCTTTACGCTGTGTCTATTTCGCCCGCAAACGGGCGAAATAAGAGTGATGAATTATTTCGCC